AAGAAACAGTATATTTATTTGAACTGTCTGCGAAGCAGAGAAATTGTGCAAATATTTCGTGTAATGATTAAAAATATAAGAGTCGCTATTTTTCCATAGTTATAGGTTTATCTAGTCTGTAATTTTAATTTAGTTTTAAGATTATCAGATTTGATAGCATATACAGTCCTGAGATGCTGGAGAGAAATATTGTTTTCTTGTATTTCATCGTCTCCTATGAGTATGCTAAAGATAAACATTTTGTCTCTTTTTAATATCGAATTATCTAATATATTGTGGATATTTGAATTTTGTTTTTAATAACTCTCGCAATAACTAAAGCTTTCAACTGCCGATCTTAATGCATCTCTTTTACTTTCGATGAAGATATCTACTGCTATAGTTCTTGTGAGAGTTGTACAAAAAATACTGTAAATATAAACACTGAACTGAATTTTGCAAAATTATGTGTACCGCAAAGGCAGACAACACGTCGATCATAGAAATCTGCAGACCACGACCAATAAACCAGGGAATAGCTCTGACACATTTATCCCCGACTGTGAGAGTTTACACCCTCTGATCAATAACAAATTATTGGTAATTCTCTATTACATAATACCAAAAAAAGTTAATAGGAAATATTTTTCATCTTGGCAGTTCTTTTGGGCGATGGCGAGTGAACCATCTTCAAATTTTCACGTTATACCAGACAGTGACATATTACATAAATAGTACTAAAGGGAAACTCGTCCGTTACATACCGATGTCACCTTTACATCAGTTTTTTTTTTCGTTTTTGATAACTGTATAACCTGGTTTACTATATTCATGTAATTTTATCCCATCCTCATTACACGCCTATGCAATTTGCGGTGCTAAATGTCACTGTTTAGAGTACAATCTCAGAGTTTTGTTACTCTGAGTGTACAAAACACTGTTTCAGAAAGTGCATGTGTTGTAGTTTTCGAGTTCTGTGCTTTAATACAGTGGTGTGAAGTTTGCAATTGATAATTTGAGGTTAAATTGAAGGCCTCTGACTTGATTGAACCTAATAATTTCCACGCTTCGATGTTCCGCCACTGCTAAAGATTGTATTGTGGCCTGCCGTTGCCGTAGTGCCAGTGTAGTGATTCCCATCGTGTCAGGTGTCAGTATTCAGTCGTGCAGCAGTCACTGGTTTTCAGTCGGTTAGTTAAAATTACGTAGTTGAGAAAGTAGGAATTAGAACATCGTTCGCGGACGGAAGTTGAGTGTAGGTAGTTGAATCGTGAAAATAATGGCTTCGTCACGGAAAAAACAGGACGAGAAGAACTTGAAGACTTTGCGTGAATTAGGTGCCTTTCCCCAAAACAAATACTGTTTCGATTGTAACCAACGCGGGCCTACCTATGTGAATGTTACCATTGGATCCTTTGTGTGTACAAAATGTTCTGGAATGCTGTGAGTACAGTTATTCTTTCAACATGCCTTTTCCTGCTCTTGAAAAGGGATAATAACTATCCTAGGTTGATCATACATATTACCTTATGTGTTACTTTGTATTCTAGAAACTTTTGATGTCAAATTGTCGTAGTTTTTATGCAGTTTTTGTATCATTGGGTTCAAAAGTACGGAAGATAAACTGACAATTACAATAAAAATAAGCTCCTACATTTTTTTAAATCAAGTTAACCCAAAAATTACTGTATAGTTTACATTTTGCTAGTACTATCATTTTATATAATTGAAAGTATTTCAATCACCAAGGATTTTGTATTTCACAAGGTATTTCACTTCATAAAGTGTACTAAGTATTTAGTCTAATAATATTTTTACTTCACGTTACTCTCTATTTTTGAGACTTCACAAGACGCTAAGAAAGTGTCGAAGAAAGTATTGAAACTCTTGTGAATATAGTGCAGTTTGCCATGACCCCTACACCCCTTGTTTTGAATAATTTCTCTAGAATGTACAAATTTAAACAAACAAATACTACAAAATGAATAATCAGGTGAGTGGTTCAATTGACAGAGGTCAACGTTACCAATTCTGACAGTCTTGATGTTTTGACCATTCATTCAGAACTCTGGACATTGAATGTAGGTAGAGTGTATAATATTATATGTATGTGGCATTCTGGCAATCATGATTTTGATAAAGCTCTCAGGTAAAATCCAGGGTAAAACTTCAGATCATTCCAAAATGAACAAAACATACACAGTTTTTGCACGGAAACCATTGAAGAGTAGGTACTTTTTTTTCTTCAACAAAACATCAAAGGGAAACTAGGAACCTACCATCACAAAGATTCTCATTAAGATTATTTTCTAATATAATTCAATAATTGATAGATACTATAGACACACATTCATGTAAAAATACTTCTTTATTATGGAAAGTTTGCGCCATAACAATCTAAATTTCAACTCGGAAAAAGCGCGAATATAACCTCTAAAAGTGAATTTATTATTTGTCATGTGTCAAACTGCCAAAAATGAAAAGCGACGTTGCCAGATTACAAAACTAAATCCTAGTTTTACAGAATGTAAAATTTCATGAGTTGACATTTTGTTTTTGATGTGAATAGCATGATTTATGATTCATTAACAAGTAATGTGTTCAAGAAGTTTTTGGAGGAAATAAAGGTTTTGGCTTTCTACTTATCTTCATACACGAGAGAATCTCCAAAAAAAGAAAGAAAGCAATCAATTTCAAAATAAACTCTATACAAAAATTTGTAGTTCATGCAAAGAAGTGACTGTCAAAAAGAAAGAAGAAACTCCCGAAATGAATCAGATATCATTCACAGGATTGCTACACAATGTAGTTTAAGAAAGAGGAAAAATTTAACTTACATGGAACACTGTCCTCCTCCTATTGTCATATAAACACTGAATTAGACGAAAGAAAAAGCAACTACTTTTATATAAACTGTTACATATTCGAGACACGTTTTTAGACAGTCCCCATTTATAGAAAAACCATAAAACATGTATTGTTGAACGAAAACCTAATCCTGATATATTAGATGTAGGTGTTTGATTTATATTACTTGGTAAGATACTACAGTCAACGTTCTAATTACTTTGGATCCAAAAAGATGATTATCTTCCCTAATGTAATGGGAAGAAGCACCGATTCGTACGTTATGAGATAAAACCATGTTAATCCTTTGCTTGCCCGAAGACTTCTGAGGGTTGTCGATCGTACTGGAACGACAACTGGTTTCAGTTCTAGAAGGATAGATAAAAATCAGAAGAATCACTATGGCCACCACATTCACCTGATCTGATCAAGTTTGATTCCAAAAAGTGAGAGACAGACAGTTTGAGCAACCTTTCTTTCGTTAATATCTAATTTCGATGTTGCCATTATAACTATAAATCAATGTTGATTCGAATGCTAATTTTTCACACTCTTCAACGAAGAATTTTTTATGAGTCTGTCACTGACCCCTATATTATCAAATCTTTGACATTTTCACTCATTCACGGCAAAATTTCTGTTGCAATTGTAAATCAAAATGACATTAAAGGCGATTGTTTTCACTGTCTGGTTGTCCTTTGTGACACAATATTGAAAATAACGGCCATTTGATAATCCCAGGAAAATATCTACATATGAATCGTATTCAGGATAGCTAATTATTGGAAGAATAAGAGGCTATTCAGGATTGAGTTGAAAAACAGCTTCAGCTGATACTTTGCCCATTCGTTATAAGGTTTTCTTCAACTCATGTAAATAGATATAAACAAGATATACTTCATCTCTTGTGATGAATAAAGTCGATTATTATTTTAGAAGTGGTGGTAACACTTCTTGAGGAAATGACAGTTTGGCAACATTGCCAAGGATAAATTTTTATGGGACATTTTCAACAATTAATACTTGACAAATGTCAGGGCCGCACTTGCCTAGTAGCAGCACCGCATTTCTACCTGAAAGTAATTTGAAGTGTTAGTCACGTGTTACAAAACGTTGAATTATTTCCAAATTTTCTTGAATTTGACCCAAGTTTAATTAAGTACATCGTGAATTTATTTAAGAAATATATGAAGTGAACTGTAAAGTAAGATAAAAGATAATAATTTGTGATATATCGTATTACTCATCACTAGCCGTGATGAAGGTTAAAAAAACTGCAACTGGATCGTCGAGAAGCTAAAAAAGTTTCGCTGGTATATTGTAATATGACCCTCTCAATTTAATTTGATACTCTCTAAGGAGGTTATCTAAAATTAAGTAGTGCAATTTTACAATTCCATTTAAAACGGGAAAATACGATTTCACGGAATTTTGCTACTAACTACTGAGTCACGTCAACGAATCATTTATTTTCGGATATTCCACGATTTATTGCTGTTCAGCCATGAAAAAAAAGGAAGTGATTATGAATGATATGGTTGGTATTTCAGCATCAATTACATATAGGCATCAACTAAAGATCATGAGTTGATATAGTCGAATGGTTTCTTGTTAATGTTAGTAACGTCATTCTACTGCTACTTTTTTTTTGTAAGAGTGAAGATATTTCAAACCTAGAACGAAGCATATATTTTTCGCAATGAATGTTGGTTGTAAAATTCGCTTATAATTCCCCTGTAATTCGCATTGATCAGTCACGCGTATCGCGCTTTCTACCAATTAGTTGAGGTCGAAGTCATCAGCAGATTATCGAACTAATTAGGATCAAAATAGGTATAATACTAATACATGCATCTCGTATTTTTTTTGTTCGAGATGGTCGATATCTGTACTTGGTGCTGAAAAAACTTTATCCTTTATGTATCCCCAGATAAAAAAATCTGAAGGAGTAAGAACTGGGGATCGAGCTGGCCAGTTAATTGGTCCATTGTTTCCAGTCCATTGTCTTGGGAATGTTGCATCTAATTGTTCCCTTACAATTGCTGCATTATGGGAAGGAGCGCCGTCCTGTAGAAAATATTGTATTTCATGCCGGATATTCAGTGGCAATTCATCTAAGTAGCCATCGAATTCATTGAATAGAAAATGAAGATACATTTCACTATTCAAATGATCATCGTAAAAGAAAGAGCCAAGGATGTTTGTCCCACAATTCCCAACCAAACATTTATTTCTTGGAAATTGGTTTCCCTATGTAAATGTTTATTTGTATTATTCCACCTATAATGGATATTTCTGTTAAANAAGGTTTCAAATTCCTTAGTGAGCCACTTTGCTATTTGGTAGGTAGGAGCTCCAATAGCTGACACGATGGGGCGTATTGATTTTCCCGGTTTGTGGATTTTTGGGAGGCAAACGATGGTCTCAGTTCCATCCATTCCTATGTAATCATTCATAAAATCCGCTATAATTTTATCCATACCATAATCTATTGGTCTTGTCAACAATGATCTCTTCTAGTATTTTGTTGTTTTTTTTTCGCTTTCGCTTGAAATATTCGATTACAGAAAAATTGACAGCACATTATGAAAACATAGTCTAGGGAATGTATGATAAAAACTGTTCTTGTAGTGAAAATAGTAGGAAACATTTCCCAACAAAACACGCGAATCTGACTGATTTTTGTCTTTTGGGTGGAATTCTAGTTTCGAGTTCGTTTTCGAAGCCAAAGCAGTTTTTTGTTTCTGTTTTTGAAAACGAAACTAGTCGCTGTTAGTCATGGAGGGTATTCCGTAGATTCACTGAATATTGAATGAACTGTTGTTTATCTCAAAGAGTGGGTTTTGTTTCGTCTGAAAGTTCAAGGATAACTTTTCAATTCTTCTGTAATTGGGTATTATCATAAGTCCGTGGTATTATAAAACAATGCTTCTTCAATTATTATTTACCATGTACTTTATTAGCAAGGATTTTAAATAATATAATACGAATTTCTTTGAAAATTTATTGTTTCAATAATTGAAGTGTTATGAGGAATTCCTAGAAACGTAATAGTTTACATTTTCTGTAATTATGCTAATTTTAGTGATGGACATTTCAAGTTTTATTTTAATAGTATGACATCACATCTCGCTCATTGCTCGGGAGACTCATTTCAATGTTGGGTTTGTTTATATATTTTACTTCAGTATCGACAAATATTTGAACAATTTTCGTGTCAATATTGTTAATACGAACTCAAATAATTGTATCATTGAGTCCTTGAGATTCGTTTGTATATGCTCAGACTAGCAGAATGTACATCGGTCGCTATTTGGTTCTCATAACTTTATTATCCAGAATATTTGGAAGCTATTTGAATGAGTATTTTGTTTTGAAACCATTTTCAAAGTGAATCATTCTTCAAGAGATATGTTATTTGATGTTTTAACCCTCCACGAAAAGAAAATACCGACAGAGAGTCTTTGCAATTATACTTTAGCAAAACTAAAAAAAATATACCTCTTCTTTGGCACCCCGAAAAAAAATCATAATACAAAAAAAATACAAATTCATCAAAATGTGTGTACAAACGATTGAGAAGTGTCACTATTACC